GCCTATCTATGGCCTTCAAAAAGTTGACGACTCTACATATTTCGACGTTACAACGTCATCCTCGGGAGTGACGTCGAAACATGTAGTCGTCAACTTGTTTCTCAAGATCCTTCAGTTCTGATACAACATAATCAATACTGTATTTTCTTTGTGCTCTGTCAAGAGTCTTGGCTATTCTGTATTCTAATTTGATTTGTTGGATGGTTAGTTCTTTACAAAGCATCATATCCATACCCAACTGTTTAATATCCAGACACCCAAAAAATGCTCAGTATAATATATAGTGCAAATGCAGTACACAATTTACAGGTCAAAAGCAAACACTCACTTATATATGGGTGTATGAATGAGCTCTAGTGAGATATCATAAACTGTAATACCATTTCAAGCTAGAAACATTGATCACAACATCAACCTAATTCATATCAAAATCCTATAGATGGATTAAGAGAGAGAGACACACACACAAAAAGAAAAATAACAGAACTAAGCCAACAAAATACCCCCAGCATATTAATCAAAAACTTCACAGAACCTCTTAATAGTTGTTGGGTCATGTTAATAAAACAATGTTTTACACGAATTACCATGTTTTGGTTATTGTTACACAGTAATACTGAAACCAATCAAAACTATTTTTCTGTGTTGAAATTGAAACAAAAGACAATCATAACACATTTTTGAGCACGGTAAAGAAAATTCACCTTTATTTTGATATAACTTAGTTTTATATATTTAACGTAAAAATTAATAATATTTAAGAGACTAAATAAGTTTAGTTTCCTATTTACTATTATTTAAGTACAAGATTTAAGTTAGTAATTTTTTCATCATTGTTTTACTGGAAGTTGTCTTATGTTTACAATGTTGTTAAGTAATAGTAATCAAAACAGTTGCTACATACAGTGTACCAGGAGAGGGCTCCGGCTAAGGAAGCAAAGCTTATAGTTTCACCAAAAGGACAATATTATATTGTCCATAAACTGCGCAATTGTTTACTTTATTTCAAATGTACATACATTAGTTTGTTCTTAACAAGCTCTCCATTTTACAGAGTGATCTGGTATTTGGGTCAGAGATGTGATGATTAACTGGCAACTAACTAATTAGTAATAAACCTAATCCACAACAAAGCTGATTACTAGTTGATGACTGACACAGATTAATATGTTAGGAGTGTGAGAATTAACTGGCAACTAATCAATAAACACTGATGGCTAAAGTTCTCCAACAAATGGAAAGGGAAATTGAAAGCTGATTGTTGAGGCAGTTTAAATATTAAGATGTGAAACATTATAAGTATTTAAGACATTACGATACTTAAGTAATGAAAATGGAATATACAAGCTTGAAAACTGTAATATCTACAACTCTACTTCCTCGATTAACTCCCCACATAAATACCAGTCCACACCAGTGTCTCAAAATGAATAAATAGCAAACAACTACATAATTATCAAATCTTTGCTGGATATGTGGAGATGATAAAATTCTAGTCATGTAGAACAATGAGTTACCCATGGCTTGCACTCTTAACTAATTAATGCCCATTAATTGATAATCAGCTTTGTCATCTGGTCAGTTAATTGATAATGTTCAAAATTATTTGTTGACACATCTCTAGTAAATTGTTTTAATGTTAGTGCATAGCAGTATTTAAAATAATGCTGGAATACTGCCTTCCACTGTGCAAAGTTGCATACAGTATTTAAAAATAATAGGATTTTCAAGCCATGAAAAAATTGTAAGTAAGGATCTATTATCATAACTTCTATTTGATCTTTTATTGTAATTAATAAACCATCCATAATTTTCAGCCACAATTGTTCAGATTCAACTATAATGAAATTTGCACATTTAATAAATATTGGTTTGCATATTTTACACAATTTCACAAAACATAAAGTTACTACACTGCTTCATTACTTCAGTAAATAATTATTCGTGTTCTATTAAATCTCCACCTATTGTATGTACACAGCACAGGCAGTCAAACACTAAATTTACTTTATTTTATCATTAATAAGAAAGGTATTTGTGATTGGTTAAGTCATTTATAAACATAATTTTTTGCTTAATATAGAAGACCAAACATAAAAAAATGCAAAAAGGTTTACAGACACCAATGACAAATGTTTATCACAAGGGTTAAAGCTTAAATATTACTGAGCTCTCCACTTATAAAAAAGTGATAACATAAATTTTTGGTTCATTACCCTGGACCAATTGAAGATTATAAAAAAACTGAAAATATCTTTAACCTTTTTGCCCCAGGCAAGTTAAAGTGCATGTCATGACGTTTTGCAGCATTATTTTCAAAATCTTATTAAATAACTTCATTACTACTTATGTCAATGAAGTTGGCATCAAAACTTAGTTTATAATTAAAATTTTAATACTATATATGTTTTAATTTCTTAATTTAAATAGAAATATACAAACAAAAATTCTAAATGTTTCACCTTACACATGTTCTTGTCTTATTGCTCAGTTTACATCTTTGTTATGCTTACCATATGTGTATAGTGGCTAGCAAATTAGAGACTCAAACTTGAGATATGGACAAGTATAAAATAATACCCTCCCACCTCTATGATTTGCAGAGATGTCAATATTTTTAGCAAATCTACTAGAGTGGCTCCTCCCACTACTCCATTCTTTTGAAACTTTTTGTCTAGTCCTACCTACTAATTAGCACATGTTTATAACCAGTAGAAAGAGCAGGTTCCCCTCTACATAAATCTGACAGTCGTTTGTAAATAGCTTGAAGAAGAAAGTAATAATTTTACCAAAATTGTCGAAGTGTGATGACTAAGTCATTGCTCTGAATAGGAATGGGATTTTTTGTATAACTTATTTAGAGACCTAGATAAATTACATGGATTTTGTGTGTACTAATACAGTAACTTGATAATTTTTTGGTTTTCTAAACTTTATATTTGAAGCCTACAAATATTAATATCTCATCACCCTCCACTTGAAAGAATAAACGAGGCTTAGAACCTGCAATGCACAAGCTCAACATTTCGCAACACCATAAGTACTCAAAATCTTTGTTTTTCATTGTATTTTTATTTATTGTTCCACGTTTTAAGAAGAATAAATAAAATTTAAAAATTTATGAGTAAATAGTAATGTGTGGTACTGAATATGTGTTATTCTAATTGTCTAAACTGAGGTAAAATAAAAGCAAATCATGCAACATTAGAAACTTGAAAACATAAAAACAGGTTTATTCATAACATTTAGAAAGATAAAATATTTTACAAATGTTGGACCAAATAATGTTATGTTTTATAAAGAAGACTAGACTTAGAAAACTTGCAAAATTAAAATAGAAACAAAGCAAGTGCAATACGTAGTACTAAAACCTAAGATTTATTGGTTGATGAATAAGTGTGCTAAAAAGGGGAAAAGGGTTTTATAAGCATGTGCTCAAATAACATCTTTATACACCTATGCCACTAAACACCCCAAAAGGATTACTGATATTCAAAGAATTGTAATGTTTATTGTATCGGCATCGAACCATATAATAAACATTTTGACGAGTTCAAAGTACAGTCTTATTACTCTGGATAACTCTTGTTGTAAACACTGTAGGATACATACATAAGCTGATAAATTCTACATCCTGTTGTTGGCATTTTAGTTTTTACATATGCTAAGTGCAGTGTGATTACTCTAAATTTTCCAAGAAAATATAATCTGATACATTAGACATCCTGTTTTCGGAGCAGGGGCCAAGTCGGCTATCTCTTCACACGTGCTTTATTACTTTTGAGGGTATCTATCATGGTTTCACCTAAACAGACTACTGACACAAGCAGCAATTTACTGCTTTATTTTCATCAAGTTTCTGCTTTAATCTTTGACAGTAAAATAAACACAGATAATAAATGTCAAACGTTTAGCAATAAAAAAAAAGGGCACAGCTGCTCATTTTATTTCTGACTTTCCAACTTTTATTTTCATTATACTTTGATGATTTATCTACAGGCTGAATAATCAAGTATATCATTGAGGTTACTGTAATAACAGATAAAATATATATTTTTACTGAAAAAAACGTTTTATATGTATTTAGGAGGTTTTAAGAGAGTACACATGAAATCTAAGATTTTTATCTTAACATAAAAATACCTTTGCATCTGGACTTGCCAAAAAAAAAAAGATTAAATATATTAAAGGAAAAATCTTCAATTAAAATCCTTCATCAAAAAATCTGATTTTTCGTGTACGAAAAACTTGTAATGTTTACTAAAAGTCTGCCAGATTTTGTGAACATACATATACTGTATTAAAAGTTATAGTACAGAAACTATAACTACAAAATGGTTATGAGGTCGGTCAATTCAACTGAGCCTGTGTACAGAGAATTAAGAACGAGGTTTTTAAGCTTTTCAGTGACAATTCCTATGATGTACACTATGAATATCATAATAAATCTAAGGTTGTTGTTTTAGAAATGTAAACTCTTACCTAATCTCATAAACTCCACCTCTTGAGGGGATAAAAAGCTACAGAGAGCTTTGGAAAGCCCATGTCTAATGGCTCCAGCTTGTCCTGAAGTACCTCCTCCACTAACAACAGCATTTACATCCACTTGTTTCAGAAGCCCAGAGAACTGAAGTGGAAACAGTAACTGTTCTCTACAAAATAAAACAGTAGCATTATAAAAAAACAACAATAATAAATTTCAAAACAGGGAATTACTCACAATAGCTAGCACTGGTTGAAATTAAGGTTCTCAGTCACAATATTGGGCTTGTATTCTGATAAGAACTAATAGTGCTCAATATTCCATTTCTGAAGTTGTGTAACTACATAAGTTTAATACTTCACAAAATTCCATTTTAGAAGTTGTATATTAAATAACAGTATAAGTTTTATACTTCACAAAATTCTATTTCTAAAGTTGTGTAAAAGAAGTTTTCACTGTATGAAATTATACAGGACAAATTCTATTTTTGAAGGAATGTAAAATACATTTTTCAGCCTTATGAGAGTTTCTATGCTATTTAAGAAATTATGTACTATAAATTTTGTATCTTTGACACTTTTTTAAACTATTTCTAACTTCCTATCATACTAGTTCATAAACATTTGTTTATAGCTATAATACGAGATAAAATAAATTTATTACAAAACTATTAGTTTTAATGACGATAAATTGCTACTGAACTCCACTTGTATAAAATTTACAAGCAGACAACTTTTGGTCCTGCTGAAAGCTGAAACTTAACAATTGAAATGTTGTCAACCTATTGACTCCAAGGGCATGCAGTCCATTCAATGGCTTCGTACAAAATATTTTAGAGTGGCATAAAAAAAAAGCAAAATAATGCAAGTTTCTTGATTTATGAACTAGGGTATATAGAAGGTAAAAAAATTGTGTATCTGAAGCTCATATTAGAAATGGTGTAATAAATAACATTGTCAGCAGAAAAAGTCATAGAAAGGAATTTAGATGTTGAAGTGAAAACAAGAAGTATGGTTCACTTATGATTAATATCAGTCAGCTGTTAATTTGTATTATTACAGAACAATCAAATTCACATACATTTGTAGGTATAATACTTTAGAATCAGAAAGCTTACAAGAGCTCAGATTGAGAACTGACATTTCACTGATTGTCCAAAGGTAATTTTCGTTTTTAACATTTCTAGGTCTAACAAATATAAAGGTATATTTTACTTTACAGTTACCAATGGGGCCCATATACAGATTTTATAAAATATCCATCAAATTCCTTGTAAGTCCATTAAGTTTTTGGCAAGTGTGCTCCAAGATGAAACTGAAGAACACATGTGGGGTACTGCACTACATCTGGAACCGATATGCTCTTTGCCATTGAAGCAGGAAACAAAAGATGTGCACAAGTGCAATTTGTTCAAGAGATGCAACCCATCTGTAAAATATAAACTGAATGAACTTTGTAGATAACCAACCTCAACCGGACAGATGAGGTTCCATAACTTGTCTTCGGCTTTAAGAGGTTGAGAATCAAAACAGATAAAAACAAATATAGTGTACCATAAACATAGTGATTAGGGCATGTGGATAGTGTTACATATACTCATCAACCCTGACTATAAGTAAACAGAATGTCATAAGTCAAGCAACCAGTTATGAAGAAGAAGCTTGCAGTCAGCCAAAACAAGACAAACTCCCAAAACTACTGTAGAAGCAAGAAGTACAACAAACCGAACCCGGCATTATATATGGTTGCAACATGCCTTAACTCAACCGGTATTACAAGCAGAAATCATAACTCACCCAACCATAAATGCAGGGAAGAAACATCCTGCATCCGGAATTATGAGGAGGATTTGAAACATTCACTCAACTGTAGGAACAGCGTACCTACATCCCATTACCAGTATTACGAGGCAGCCAGAGTTTCCAAAACTCAACCGTAGGTGCAGAGAAAGAACCTCCTGCAACTGGAATTAACAAGAAGAGGCTCTACTATACACAACGATAGGAACAGGGTAGTGTCATCCCAAACCTGGTATTATGAGAAGGAACATGTAGGTTGGTCCTGCTCCAACTGACAGTTGTCCACCTGGTAAAAAGCATTCAGGGCAAATGGAAGGAAGGAAACAAGCTTTGCCCTCTTCTCACTGAGTGTAAAATCATGAATGTGAATGGTAAATTAAAATTCAACAATGCACTCAGGAGGAAGCCTCCATGGTCCACCACCCCAGTGGCTGGGAACTGGTAAGGATTCCCTTGTTCCACTGGAAGAAAAAAAAAGGGGAGGGGGAGTAAATCTGTTGAGTCCAAAAGAACGTCACATCAGTGAAAGTGCAATGGGTGTCTGTGAGTTCCTATTTGGAAATGTAGACTGAATCAAGAGTCAGCAGGGATGGGCAGAAATCTCCTTCTGCTTTACTCATGAAGTCCATGAGTTATGGTCCACCACTGGGTGAAACTTCCTGATATCTACAAACATATGTATATACCACTGGGTATGCCACCAGTGGTCTTGCAGAACACTCCATTTATACAGTAAGTGTTATAGTGCTATCAGTAAATAGTGTGGGTTTGAAGCAAAGCGTACCTGACCAGGCAACATCCACCACAGAGTGGGATCTCATTATCAGTGGTAAAAAAAAAAAGTCTCTCTGAAAAGAAAACATAAATGAAAGAAAGTGATATGATTTACCCAAATCAAAGGTGAACGAATGTGTGTAGAATGTCATGGCAAGCTCAGACCACTAAAAGGAGATCAAGGATCTGAAAGCACAGAGACCTGGAATTGGTACACCCTTGCTTGGTGATATAAGTGACCATTGTGAAGTTGTCGGTGTGTATCATAACCACCCTCCCCTACAGGAGATGAAGGAAGTGGGACAATTCTCGATGAAACATAAGCTCGAGAACAGTGATATGGAGAGAAATCTCCTTGATGAACCAGAGACTGGTAATCTCCTGAGAATCGAGATAAACACCCAAACCCTCTAAAGATGAGTTTGTGAACAGATGAGGTGGAAAAAGTGGTACCCCTGCCATGGTCTGGCCTCTGTCTAACCATCAAACCAGGTTGGCTTTGATTGGCAATGAAGAGTAAAAGGGTGGTCCAATTGATCTGAGTAGTTCAACTGATCAAGGAGTTTCCACTGAAGGGAACACGTAAGACCCTGACCCGCAAAAGAGATAGAACCTCTTGAGCTGTGAGAGAATGTGAGGTGATGACCTTGTGAACTGCTTGCTCCATAACCCAAAGACAAAAAAGAGAGAAGCCTAAGCCCAACTGAGGTAGGAATGAAGAAAACCCCAAATGAATGGGAAATTAACTGTGGGTAAGAACAGACTCCCCCCCCCCCTTTTGCTAAGAATCCCACCCATACTGATTCTTGTAGGAGCAGAAGAGTATGGTCTCTGGACTGTGAACAGGAAGAAGTGAGCAGTAGCCAGTCATCCACGTAAAGATGAGTGCAAAGACCCATTGAGTGATAATGTCATGCAAAAGCTTGCACCACCCAACAAAACAGTTAAAGAGCCAAGGTTAGTCCAAACAGTAGGGCCCTGAACTGAAATACTTGCCTTCGAGCAATAAATAACTATTGACAATGTGGGGATGAACACGGAATTGTTGACTGCGAGGAAAAAATTTGGTTTCTAATATCAAGAACATAGGAAAAGGAGCCACAGCAAAGCTGAGCCCTAAGAACAGGATAGAAACAAACACATCAGTGACACAGCAAACTCTTACACTGACAAAAAGTAGAATTCTAAGGCACATAGTTAACAATGATGAAAAAAAATTATTGAGATAGAGCAATGAATTAATTATATGTTACTAGTAGTAAAATGTAGTGTACAAACTATCTAAACATACCTAGTTAACAAAGTATTCATGAATATTGAATGCACAAACAATCTAAAACTACATAGTCCACAAAGTACGCAATAATAACAAAAGTGCAAACTGATAAAAATTACCAAGAAAACAAAGAAATAATCAATATCTAACTTACAATTTATCTAAATTAACTAAAAAATAAAGGACACATAAATAAGGCCAACACTGACAATAATTAGGATTATAAGGCACATATTCAACAATGGCATGAAAAAACGTTATTCAGATATAACAATGAATTAGATGTGACTAGCAGTTATGATATGTAACTTACAAACTATTTAAACATACCTAGTTACAGTACTTGTTAATATCGAACTGACAAACTCTCGAAGTATACCGAGTCTACTAGGTATGTAATAAACAATATCTAACTTACAATTCATCTAAATTAACTTAGATGACAAAGCACCCATAAATATCTAACTTACCAATGTCCAAGCACTGATGACGTGAAATATCTCTCATGTGTAAAGAAGGAAAAGCCACACAAAGGGCATCTGAGCTGCACCTACCACGGGTATATCTACCAAGTGACGTTTACAAGTCTAAAACTTACTACAGCACCATAGGGAGAACTAGAAGCAATATGAAGTAAGGAGGAGAACAAACCTCCACCAAAGTCAACGACATGGCAACTGGAGCAGGAAAAAGAAAATTAGCAAAATCCACCACATTTCAAACACAGAAAAACCAGAATATGCATCAACCAACGACCTGATTAACTAACTGTAAAAAAATGGAAGGGGTAAACTCCTGAAGAGGTGTAGAGTGTGACAGACCAAAATAAGAAGGTGCTGGAAAAAGAGAGTCCAAACAGCCTTCTTCTTTACTGTATTCTTCCTCAGAAACATTGTCACACTGAAAACAAGAAGAAATTGCTGGTAAAAAAATAAATAGAATCTAGCTCCCTACAAATTAAAACTTGTACCTCCTCTGCAGATAAATTCGAACCTGATTCCTGGGAAGTTGTATCCATAGCATTTCGGACTGTAATGGGAATTTCATAGTCAATATATTAAATCGCAAGTTCATACTAAGGTCTTTTATAATTCAGCAACAAGAAATAAATGCAAAAAACTGTTGAAACAATTAAATGCAAACAGTAAAATAAAACTGTTGAAAAAAAAAGATTGGAAATGGCAAAGAAGCACGATCATAAACAGGAGCCATGTGTGAAAAAACACACATATAAACAATGTTGCTCCAGTTGAGAAAGTGAAGATTGAGCAGAAATAGCAGAGTGAGCTAGCTGCATCAGTATAGGTGGGGAGTAGTCACATGCTACGTACGTTTTCAACAGTGGTATGAAATTGGTGGGGTATATAGACTGGTATGCTAAACATGAAAATGTTTTCACCAATGCTTAGAGGGCAGAAAAAAGATTGAGAGAGCTTTGTGTAAGAGAGGTAAGACTGTAATGAAAGCATAAAATTACTTAATATGATACATTATGTGTACAACTAGTGAGCAGTAGATAAACAAATAGATAATGTGAGGGTTAAAGATGATACTGAATAATAGGTAAAAAAAAAATAATAATAATGTTGCAGAATTTCAATATAGGTGTTTTTCGCTCTTATAAAAAAATGGTTTTCCAGACCACATATCCAATTTTCAAAAAAGTCAGTTTACTAGCCACATATATTAGCTGGTATACATGATGGCTTTTTTTGTGCTTTTCAATTTGTAATAAAATATACAGTATTTGTGTCTTAAGCAAAGAAAAACATAAGAAATAATAAATTCTGGGTGAAAGAATAAGATGGTTAAAAACTATTATCAAGCAATTCTCTATTCAATTCACATTGCAATCACATGCTTCAACCGACTCATTCCTGTACCAAGGAAATTCACAGATCTCTTTCCTACACACCTGTCTTGTGTGCTGTCAAAGTAGTCTATGTCAGTGCCATTAATTTCTATTTTGCCTGTTCCATTTCCTTGAACTAGTACTTCAGCTTTGGATGTCTTTCTATATCCTGTAATAAATAACAGGAAATAAATAGTTCACAACTTATCCAGATTCCTTCTTTCTGTGGGCAATAAAAGGTTCTTTATTTTCATATTTCTCTCAACCATAGGTTTCCTTTCATCTTTAATAACAAATACAAAACCTTATTATAGCTTTTATAATAACCCTTGTCCACATTACAGCTTGAAAATGATTTTTTGAACTGCTAGCACATATTCTCATCAGAAGCTACAACATCTGTATGTTGTGGTTTAAAGATTAGATTTTGAACAAATTAGAAATTTTTTTTCCATACCACAACAGATAAGCAAAGATTGTTACACTATGCATAAACACAAAGTTCAACAAATTCTAAACTAGGACTTTGGTCTTTGTTGTTTTATCTTTCCAGATATACTTAGTTTTCTTAGTACATAGAGTAATATCAGATCTTCGTACTGTTTGAGATACAGAAAAACTGAACAGTGCTTTATTTGTAGTTTGGAAAAGATTTCTCTTATAATTGTTTTATAAATCTCAACCAAAATTGAAAGATTTGAAAATGTTTTCTTACCCCCATAAACTATTAGAGGACCCAATACTTTTCATGCAAAGGATAAAAAAGTTTTTATACTTTATAGCTTTTTTTACAAATATTACATCATACAGCATTTTCTAAAAAGAAATAATCTATCTCTGAATTAAATAACCTTTATATTGAACCATTACTTCTTTTTCTCCTTTTACTTCTTTCAACCTTGGGTATGAAAAACATAGTATGTTTGCATTATCTAATTTTAATTATGTATTTACATTTTAAAGTGTTATGGTATTATATTCTTCTTTTTTTGTACATTGAAAAACATAACTAGAAATAATATGAAATTCTTAAATACCCCACTAAATTTCTACAAAATTGATACCTGTAGTTTTGACATATGGACGATTGTTTGCATCATATTCAAGCTGAAAATAAAGAAGAAATTATTAACACATTTCAAATTGAAATGCATTTTTGAAGACATGGATTAAACAGAAAAATCCATTACTCTTACCTAATTTGATGGTATATGACTTAAATGCTTTTTTGTACCAGAAAGGAGTCACTGATATCTTTTGATTTTGTTTCTTTTTCACAATAGAAATATTTAACAAATTGCTTGAAATTTAGAAGTACATTTATTCTTTTACATTAACTTTTAAACTTAATAAGCTGAAAAGTGCTCGCTAGTCATGATAGGGGTTAAGCAGAAATTTAAGTCCAATAAACATAATTACAAGGAAAAGATTGGTGCACACTTAAAAAAAATTCAAATTTAAATAAATAAACTTTAATATCTTTTAAATTATTTTATGATGTTGTTTTGGTGAATATCGTAACATGGAAAGTTATTTATATTAAAAATCACATTATTAGATAACTTCTTTCAATCATTTCATTTTCACTAAAAATGCTTAAATAAAAAATTTAAACAGCATAATAGAAAAAATAAAATTATGATAAATTATATATTTTTTTTTCTTAAACAGAAATACATGAATGACATGTTTTAATTTTTGGTGGAATTAAAATTTTTGAATCATTAGTTATCTAACATTTGACAACACTTTTTTTGTGCAAGCTTTTTGGTACCTTAATGCTTTTAAGAAAACGTAAACAAAACTTACTGGTAAAATCTCAAGCTTTAGTGATGCTGCCGTTAAAGCCATTCTAAATTTCATGAAGTAGTCTTTTACACGATACGAATATGGATGTTCGGCCAAATTTGTAATAGCACTCACAAATGTTGCATACTGAAACATGATGAGGCAAAAAAAAAATAATCAACCCTGTAAAAAACTTGTATAATGAAACAAGATAATCCAAAAGAATAGTCAATTCCTATAAAACATTTAAATACTGACATAAGATATACCAAAGGATAACTCTTCCAGCATGTCTTAGAAAGCCACAAGGGGGACATTCTGAGCTTTCGATTGAATATTCGTGTCATATATAGAAGTAAGTATATATAAGGGAGCATTTCAAAAAATGGAAAGAAGTGAACAGGGTGCTACTGTGTTTGATTTATTACATGAGCAAGACCTTAAATAACTAAAAAATCATAAATTACTACATTAATACCATAGAATTCCACAATAGTTTATCAAGCTTAGTAACTAAAAAAATATGAAATTTGGAGCAGACTAAAGCCACACCCTACCTCGTTGAATTATTGGTTCAAAAGAAAGAAATGGTGTCAATCCCGTTAAAATGGCTAAGAAAGTCACTAGAGGGACATTCTGAGCTTCCGATTGGTTATCCATGTCAAAAATAGAAGTAAGTGTTTATAAGGGAGCATTTCCAAAAATGGAAAGAGGTGGATGGGGTGGCACTGTAATTGATCTATTACATGAGCAATACCTTAACAAACTGAAAAGATAAGAGCCTCTTATCTTATATTCTAGCTTGTCAGTATCTGTAATTTGAGTTCCTAATTTGTACAAAACTATAAACTTAGTATTTTGACATCACAAACATCTAATTTGAACCAGTGCTGCATTCAACATACCACGTGACACACAATAATCGATGTCTAACTGTGTTTTTTTATATTCACTTTTAAGATAATAAATTGAGTAAGGTGTAATATTAAAATTTGAATTATAATCTACAGTTTGATACCAAACTTACTGACATAAATTCATGAAATAGCAGTTCAGTAAAATTTTGAATGTGAGTCAACAAACAAGATGACATGGCCTTTCACCCATGACCCATCTCGAAAGGGATAATTAACTCTTGTAGAGCAGGACACAAAAAACACAGCAGAGGTCAGAACAATATGCTTTATATACCAATTGTTGCATGGTTGATTAAGAACAAGCTAGTACAAAAAGAATGACTAACTCTTTTAAAGTGAAAATATATTTTTATGAACTTTAAATACTATGAAGTACTTCAAAAGCTATTTATATTACATTATCATCAAATAAGACTAATCATTATAACAAATATTCAAATGGTAAAATGTTTAGTAAATGGAATGATAGAAAACCAACAGATTCATTCACTGGAACAAAATATAAACAGAATAAACATAAATTGAAAGCATTATTCCTCCAATATTGCATTTTACTTTGTGACTTTAACATTGCTTGCACTGTAATCAATCTTGTAATAAAGTTTTAAGTTTTGAAAATGTAGCAATTCCAATTTTACTTTAGATACTTTTTAGTACTTTCAATATATCCATTTTCTAGAAATGTCTACTAAAAGCTGAAATCTCATAGACAACTAATTCTAGATTTACAAACACTCTCAAACATTAATCAACTCATATCTTCTTGTTGAGACAGTATTTATATACTTTTGGAACACCTTTACTTACTTTTACTTTTATTGAAACATAAATCACATCACTTAATGTTCTGACTAAAATGATGTTTCAAATATTCACGTGTAGATTGCTACTAAAAATTATATATACATATTTATTAACCCTAAAACATAGAAGTTTGAACTCTAAAATTGCTTTTTCAACACAGATTCATAAAAGTGCTTAAATTATTTACTGTAACATTATTAAATAAAAGTACAAGCATATTTAGTTTCATTGGGGGTGTATTTATGAATGTGAAAGTTCTAGTTTTTTTTTGTAATTACAGTTGCTAATTAGAAATCCATATATTTTAGAGTCATTTAAAATGGAGAAAATTTCTGTTCTATTCCACAAGTCTATATATTGATAAGACATATCTTACATCTTGATCACTTGTTTTCTCTACGATCAACTCTTCCAAACCTTCTTTTGTCACCCAAGTACTTCCACTAAGGTTTCTAAAATACAAATAAATATTCTGGATTTTCTTTTTTCTTTCCAGTTTAAAATCATTCTAAAAATATGTTTAACCTTAAAAGATTATGGTCATGAAATGTTTAAAACAAGCAATAAACATTTTTCTTGATGATTGAGGAAAAACCCTTGGACTCAAAATAAATTCTAATCCTTAAAAAACAGATGAAATTTGTGACCTTTTGAGACCCCTTTGAACCATGGCAGGTGATAATATAATTGTCTATAACCTATTTCTACTTTTTCTTATTGGTGACAAAGATTTGAAGATAGTTTGCCATGACTTAATGTAAGCCAAAGTGCAAGTTAATATACATGTGTAGGCTACCTGATCTTGTCAATGCTTGTAAAAACAAATGTCTTGGGTTGTTTTTCTTTTTTTTTCTTACCTAGCATGCATTAATAATTAGCAAGCTGTTTTTTTACTAAATGAGAAAATGCAACTTGATTAATATTTCAAATAATCTGATCATTCAATTTATAACTTAATAATGACAAATGAGGAATTTTACAAATAATTTATCTGCCTCATAAAAGTAGTCATTTCTTACTTCTATAAATATCTAGCCCAAAACAGATTTATGAAAACGTAAAAAAATATTTTCATAATATTCTTAATACAACTGATTCAATCTTTCCAGTCTTTCAAACTGGTTACACAATTTAACTCTTTCAGCACGGGTCCAGTCCCTGGGACCAACCTCGTAACCATTTTGTGCCTGTTATAGTTTTCATGCTATAACTTTCAAATTAGTAAGCAAATTTTAACAAAATTTGGCAATTTATCAGTAAACATTACAATGCTTTCATACGCAAAATACCTAATTTTTTTTTATTAAGTCTTAAGGTTTGTAAAGCAATGTTTTTCTCATGCCTTTCTTCTTTTCACATCTTGCCTATCTATCATCCAAAGTAATTTTCATTTTAAGATTTAAGAATACTTTTATGCATCAAAAAAATTCCAAATTTCACATGAAAATCTTTATAATGTCCAGATAATTATTAAACATTTCTTAAGAAAAAACTATTTTATTTGATATTTTCAGTAATTAATCTGTGCAAGGGTTTGGTAGATTTGACCAACATCACAACCACCATAAAAAATTAGGAAATATATATAAATTATGCCTTTTTCATTCTATAATGAACACAAATTATTACACGAAACATAAATGTTTAGACTAAATAGTTTAAATCTTATAACATTATACATTTATACATATTTATTATTTTTATTATATTGACCTTTCAGCCGTGCCTGGCTAACAATACAGAAGCTACAATGATGCAGCTCACATGCACTCATGTTACCATATCAAATAAGATAAAACTAACCTTTGGTCTGTACAAAGTAACTTGTCTTGGCTATGTTTTAGTAGACTAGTATTTTGTAAAATACAGTCATATTTCAATTATTATACATTATATATGTATATAGATTATTGCTATTTAGAAATAAATTCTTAAACTTATTTTTCTTAAAACATATAACAGTAACTAAAGAAGTAAAGCAAACAATTGTCTTTCTAGGTTACAACCTTTGTATTCGGTAGCTGCTTGACGTAGGATGCTAAGCCTTTAAAAGATTTACACGTGGAGGATATGAAACAAGATAATTCTTTTTAGGTTTTATATATACATTTGAATAAATAAAAAATCACAAATTACTACATTAATACCATAGAATTCCACTGTAATTTATCAAGCTTAGTAACTAAACAAAATATGAAATTTGGAGCAGACTAAAGACACACCCTACCTCATTGAAATATTGGTTCCAAACAAAGAAATGGTGTCAAGCCCATTAAAATGGCTGAGAAAGTCACTAGAGGGACATTTTGAGCTTCTGATTGGTTATTCATGTCAAAAATAGAATTAAGTGTATATGAGGGAGCATTTCCAAAAATGGAAAGAGGTGGGCGGGGTGGCACTGTAATTGATTTATTACATGAGCAATATCTTAACAAATTTAAAAGATAAGAGGCTTTTATTATATATTCTAGCTTGTCAATATCGGTAATTTGAGTTTCTAATTTGTACAAACTATAGACTTAGTATTGTGACTTCACAAACATCAAATTAGAACCAGTGCACCATTCAACATACCACATGACACACAAAAATTGATGTATATCTGTTTTTTTTAATATTTGCTTTTAAATTATGAAACTGAGTAATATATAGCATTAAAATTTGAATTATAATCTACAATTTGATACCAAACTTATTGACATAAATTCATGAAATAGTAGTTCAATAAAAGTTTGAATGCTAGTCAACAAACGAGATGACATGGCCTTTTACCCGTGACCCATCTCAAAAGGGTTAATGCTTACTTTAGCAGCGAAATTGTGTTATCAGAAGAAAATGAGTATACAACACACAGCTTAGTCATATGAAAATTGTTTCTTTACAAATCTCAATGTTTTCATTAACATACTGCATTTATTTAAACCACGTATGAACTAGGATACAGTGAATGATTGTACTGCATGTTACCTAAGGGTCATACAGACTCTAAAAATAAAATTCAGGATCAATACTCAAACTTCCAGAGCTCTCATATACTACACCATGAAGGATTAATCTTGCATTTTCATTTATCAAATATACTTGCCAGTGGAAATTGCAATATGCTCGAGTTTCATGATGCATGAGATTCACAATGGCAAACATGAAATATAAGCAAAATCAATTCTGATTGGCTGAACTGTTCCTTAAGATTGACTATATATAACAATATATGTGTGCTATTTGCCTGTTTAACACAATAATTAACAGTTAAGGCTATGCATAAATATGATACAAGGTCATTATAATTGCTAATTAATTATACTTGTCATAAGACATTAGTATAATTCTTTATTCAGACCTTTATTTTATCAAGATGAAGAACATATAATAGTATTTCAACCACACTATGTCCACCATATCCATTGGTGACTATGCATTTTGTTCAATTAAGAGCTCTTCAGGCCAACTGAAAACAATGATCATAGTAGTGACCAGAACAATATTTTTCTAAAACATTTATTACCACAACAATTGTTATGTAGTTTCTTAAAAAGAAGTGGATGATCTTAATTCAAAGCCTATAAAAATGCATTCACACCATAACAAGTGTCACTACAATTACTACCTATAGTTAACTTTAAAATGTCTGTTCAACTTAATAATTTTTCATTTTACTTTAATTAATTAACATCTAGAAAGGTTTAGTTAACAGTGGTACTAAATGATAGAGAAAAATGTGAGTAAACATTAAAATTCATTTGATATGATCAGGTCAAAGTGAGCATGTCATGAAATCTGAACCTCCCACTTTCTTAATTTGCTGAGATAACAATAACTTTGTCAAATGTACCAGAAAACCCATTCTCTCTTTCCGACTTTCAATTGTTAATCAACTTTATATGTCTCATGGACATATTTATAACTAATGGAAAAAGCAGATTCTTCTCCATATAAGGCTCATTACAGTTATTTAATTTTGTTATTCATAGATTAAAATGTATTTATTTATTAATATAAGCCTGTTGTAGTTTCTCTGTGGGAGAACATCATATTTTTCCTCCACACTTGAAATGTAATCCCAAACCTATTTATAGCCTATTCAGAAAGCCTAATAAATTATATTAGTCATGAGACATTCTATTCTTGTGAGTGACATGTTTCATGTTCTAAAATGCATATTTAAAAGCTACATGAATTAGTTATTATATACCCAGGTTTGTGAGCCTCGACAAGGCTTATAAAAGAATGACTTTCATTTTTACTCTGCGTGTAAATGAGCTTCATCATGCAATAAGTACTACATATCCTTGTTGTTATGTATATATTTTATTTACTGTTATATATTTTTTAACAAAAGTAACTGAAGTAGATAACATTCTCAACTTTACCTAACAAAATGTCAGTAAAATAAAATGTCTAAAATTTTATGTATTACATGACCTGCTGTTTACATTAGCTTTACAGGAAATAGCTAATAAGCTATTGCTGAGATTTATTACTTTCAATGGAGGAGGTTACTGACATACATTGATATTAAAGTTGTTTAATTAAATTTTGAGAGTTATGCTGTAAAAGATGGTGACATGACCAAAGGAGCCAGGTCCAAATGCGAGTCATTAAATTGAATGAAGCCTCATATACTCAAGAATATCTCAGGGTGGAAGAACATTTGTTTATTATTCAATCTTGATCCACAACTGTCACAGTCTTTGCAATCTTAATAGGTCAAAACTTTTTTTTCAAAATGTAGCAAAAGGTGTTAAGTTCAAAAGCTGATAAGCAGAAAACCTGATTCAGTCTATATGTTTCAAAGGACAAATAAAGAACAGTGAAGATATGAGAATATGTATACTTAATCCTTTCCTTTTTCACTTTTGTTGTGTTAGAAAAAAATTTTATGACATGAAATACTATAGTATATATACATATGTAATATATATATTTCATTAAATAATAATAATAATTTAATTATTAGTCAAAAACATAAAAACTTTATGCAGTTTATAGTTGTTTAAAAGATTTTTATAATGTGGTAAGACTTATCAAAATATAATAATTAAAAACAAGTACTAATCACAAAGTTCTTCACCTGATTTATGATATACAAAGTTTGTATTCATTTAAAAACTTGTTAGACTTTGGAAGAACAATCGTTTTAAAAATATGTTATTTAACTCCCATGAGAGTAAACATTGTAAGTTTTAAGTTTTCCAAACAGAAGTGCTTCCAGCAGATTGAAAGTAAAAAAAATCAATCAAAATATTTTACAGGAATGAGTTTATTTTAGTTCAATATTTCAGAGTATGCATATTTCAGGAGTTAAATGTTTTTAAATTAATCTAGCTCTTAGAGAGCAGCACTACTGTAGTGACATAAGGAATAAATAGTGACTTGTAATTTCAATGTTACTATTGCTATAGGAATTTAAAGGTTAAAATCAATACTGACCTAAATTAGCAAGTGAAATCCAAGTGTTTGAACACTGTACAGCTTAATTTAAAGAACAATCTGCTATTAATAGCTATCATTGTAATATTTCATAGGTTAATGAATATTTACTTACACTCTGGATTCTGCTGGAGGTTCCCTGATTCCTTTGCGTAACATTCGATCTTCAAAGTTGTTGATTTCTTCCATCTTCTCTACAATATCCTATACAAAAGAAAACAAAAAAAAACAATCATAGTTTTACATTAACATTATTTGCTAGATGTAGTAAAAACTTTCATTTAGGACTTTCAAAAAAATTAACAAAACCTGTGTAAACATTAATAAAAACATTAAGAAGGTCAACAAATTGGGATTTCTTATTTATTGTACAGTGCCACTCTGAAAAATGGATAATAATATATTAAAAACAAATAAAACAAATCCATAATTCACAATGAAAAAAAAGAGATACTTACATATAGAGTCTGAAAGAAGTTTGCTTTTCCAGTATAAAACAAAAAATGAAATGGCCTGCCACTCTCATCAAATTCTGCAGCTGCATTAAAAAAATAAGAGACAAAGTTCATACCATTCAAAGGAATACTTTACAAAAAAAATAAAGAGAGAGACTTTAAGTCATATAAAATAAGAATAAAATTAGAGTAAGCCACTTTAAATTTTGTAATAAAAACCTAAGACTTCCAGTTTTTTAAAAAATCATAGAGGTTGAATCTTTTGTACTCCTGTTCTCAATCCTGATCGAATATATATACACTTTAAAATTAGGTATTATGGAATCTTTAAAACATTTATGATGACACCAGAATAATTATTGCACATAATAATTTTGGCAACATTATATGTTCTATAATTATTATTGTTTGCTACCATAATTAGAAATTATTATAACAGTCACTGTAAACTTTATAATAGGAAATTGAAGTCCTCTTAAACTTTCTTGAACCTTAGTTATAATTTGTGTATAAGTCAAATTAGTCAAAAATATTATATTGCTAAAAAAAAATCCCAAATTTCTTTTTACCTTTTCTTTTGGGGAAAATTTTCTCAGGAGGCTAGAATGATAAAAAATACTGACTTATTAATTCAGTAATTGCATTGCTCCATGAAAGACTACAACACTATAAATGAAATTTATTTTACAATTACCATAAAAATATTGCAAATTTGAAAAAGAAACTAAATATTGAACAAAATCTGTAAGATATTCTAAAAAAATATTCTTTTTATGTATTAACCAAGAATTAGTGGTACACACATACATTTTTAAATATATTTAGTAAAATGTTTGACACTTTACTACTGTGTTGGCTGAGTAAATAAACACAAGAATTTACATTAAAAAAAGTCAATCAAAATTAAGAGGCTAACAGCAAAAAGTAATTTATTTACACATCTATATATTTTAACTAAACTAGAACTTAAGATTAAAAACATCTGATACTTTAGTACAGGAGCTTTACTCCTTACATACAACAAGGTCTTTTTTGCTGCTTAATTAGAACTTAATCATGATGATATCGTAACATCACAAGCCATAACAGTTAAAAAAATATATAAAAAAATCATTATGCAGTTCATAATATTGTACATCAGAATACCTTTTAATATTATTAATACTTTAGACATACCTTCATAACTGGTCGAGCTTTCTTCTCAAATAAACCTGAGGGCATCAGATATTCTATTGCTTGCTGAAGATGAAAAACAAATACTTTTTTGAGTTGCATGGTCTTAAAGAAATTATTTTATATTCAATATTAACCTGCATACACCAATAAAATTTCACTCATCACGTCATACTACAGCATAAACATTTTCATTGTAAGTATGTGATTAATATTTTAACAGCAATAAAAATAACATAGTAAAGAATACCAACATGAAGAAAAAGAACAAAACTACACATACAATCATATCTCACTACGTCTAACAATACTGGGACACAAAGCCAAAATAGAAAAAAGTAACATAAGAGACACTTTTTTTCATCTAATCACCTAAAATGAAAACAACAATCAATTTTCTACCCAAGTACAAAAATAAATAAAACATAGTATTCCTCCCATAATGCTCAAATACTTAGTTAAAAAAAAAAACACATAGTGGACATCAGACCAGATGAATGAACAGTGCCCATGCTTTTCAGCCAAAATTTCAGTTCAAATTCCTAATTTGCAAAATAAAACTATTTTTTCTTTTGTCTTCTTGGAACATGGTCATAGATTATCAAACAATACATAAGATGGTAGAAAATTAGTAATCAGTTAATTAACATTAGAAACAAAAGGTAATTATGTAGGCTCAATAGCCTGTGAAAAAAAAAAATTACAATTCTTCGTTGAACAACTAGGTAAAGGAATCTGAAAGGTGTGCAACAGTAGGACAGCCTGGTGGTAAAGAACAACAGAAAAAACAGAACACTTTTGATGTTAGAAAGAAAGTAGAGGGGCAACATGAATGTGATAATAAGAGAGACTATGTAGTCAGAGAAACATAACTAACTAGCAAGGGACCAGACAAATCCACCTGTGAAGACTAAGGGATGACACTCCTGAGTGAAAGAGAGATGTACGAGGTTGAAGCAAGAATGACTGAGGTGGAGGCAGAGTAAGAGGTGCCTTGATGCCAGTCAGTGAAGAAGAGAAAACTGGTACTGAGCTAATCAAAACGTTCTGACAACAGGACCAAACAGAGCATCATGAATCAATGCCAAGAAATGTGGGAGAAGATGAAGAAAAGGGTACACATACACAAAGAGATGAGACCAGAGCTGCTGGGTGAAGAACCAGGGACCAGAAGAGGGAGAATTTGGTATTGAGAATAGTTGCAAAGGCTTTGATCTTTGGCATGTCAAACTGGGAGCAACTCTATCAAAATAACTGAAGATGGAATGACCACTCTATATGAAGAATCCTGTCCAGTCAAGAGAATCAGTCCACTACCAAGTTCAAAGCTCCCAGGACATGACAAACAGTCAGATGAACCCAATGTGAGTGGGTCTAAAAGAAAAAGTCCAATGTGTGGAAGCAAAGGTACTTGATGCTAGTCCCACCCTGACAAATGATATGGATAATGATCAAAGAATTGTTGAAGTTAATAATAACCAAATGATCCACAAGATTAGGTGGCAATTAGGAACACACCCAATGAAGGGCCAAGTGTTAAAAAACATTGATGTGAAAGGTACGCTCTGCAAGAGACAAAACCCCAAAGGCTGTGGAGTGATCCATGAGAGATTTTCTACTGGTCACTCAAAGTCCACTGAAGAAGATCCATGTGAGCACAGTTTAGAGGGACAAGATGTTACAAAGACACAAGTCTCCCCAAAAGAGACATAATTTCTCACACAAGAAATATAGGAAAGGCAATAGTCGAGATGACTATATGCTTCATGTCCTACAAATGAATGGGGAAGGCTAAGCCTGACTGAATCAAAAATTAAAAAAGACTCCAAGGTGGACCAAGTATTGAGTCAGAGTCAGCCACGACTTGGAAAACCTAACCAGCCGACACATATTAGCCACCTCTTGGAGAAGTGATGCACCTAACTGATAAGGTAATTGAATCTTCCTTTCCTCTTCTTGAGTCATTCATTCAGGTAATAATGGAAACAAAGTCCAAGACTATGGACATGACAAGAAAACACTCTCATGACTCTGCTGAAGACAAGGGGCTAAAGAAATATCAAAGAAGAGAAATCAAAAGTAGTATAACTGATCCCAGTGTACAAAATAAAATGAATTGAGGATGGAGCAATCAATACAGAGAGAAAGACATCCAGATATTGATCTTGGTCATCCACAGTCCAGGGGAAAAGAACCAATGGAGAGGAACAAGCCCCTCCCCCTTGAACCACAAAACCACCAGACAGTGTGGAGAGAGGAAAGGCTAATGTTGGGACACTAGTCCATAAACTTTTTGGGGACAACACAAAGATAAGAATAATACCCAGGAGAGGAACAAATGACCCTCTCGATGGCTTTCATGTACAAAAGATCAGATATTGCATGCAGCCTTGAGATGCAGAAGGTGCTAAGGATCAAAAGGAGGAAAAAGAACCAGAAAAGAGAACAGAGGAGGAAGAGACAAAAAGTTAAGAGATAGGCCATGTGCAGGAACCTGCAAAATGGGTCCAAAAGAAACAGACATGTCCCTACAGGGCCTGAACCAGCTGGGTACAAAGGGAGAAAGTCACCAATAGAATGTGTGTGATGGCCAACCTGATGGATGGGAGGATAGAGAGAAGTGGTAGAAGGGCAAGAAACAAAAAAGGGAAAGGTGAAAGATTCATGGTGTTGAAAAATGTGAATAGACCCACAAGCCTGTAAGAGACAAAAAACCAAAGCGGAATGGAAGGACTGGTGTCAGGAAGCCTCAGTTGAAGTCTCCAAGATGCTAGGAACACCTTGGAAGACATCAGGGCAAAAAGCAGCCAGATGGAGGTCAAGGAGGTAAGAATGGGGAAGAGAAATGGTAGAGAAGAGTGTCATGTCCTGGAAGGTTCCAACAACAGAGGAGCCAAATAAACTGGAGATGAAACACTGGCGAAGGAATTGAAAATGGACCAACCACAGATCCCCATAAAAACTAACGTGATCACAGTACAGATAAGAGATGAAGAGAGGATAGGTAACAAAGCAAATGGGTATAAAGAAGTAAAGACAGAAAAACTGATTACTAGAGAATGTTACTGGAGACTGGGGTAAGTCTCCCAAGTAGAAAAGACTCCTGGGATTGGGAATTCAAGAACGGAAAAGTAGAACAGCCATAAGCCATGGGAAAGGAATTCTGGAGTTAAGGAGGATGAGGCACTTGAAAATAGGAACAAAGTTGATCCAGGAACGTGTCAACATGAACTCGTTTGCTTGGAGAATGAGGGAGAACCAAATAATCCTCAGGGTGAGAGTCACGTAGTAAGAAACAGGAATAATCAAAAGAAACAAGAGAAGAGAAAAGTAAAGAACTGTTCTGAGTAATCAAGTCCACAAAGAGATTTGTAGGAGGAACATTGTCCTCAACAGATAGAGAGTCTCCAGTGGCCACAGACAAAGGAGTGGTACTGTTAGTAACATCACCAGGAGGATGTAGTAGTCACTGTCACTTGAAAATTCATGGTCATCGTTGCAATTCTCCAAATACATTTTTTTTAGTTATTTAGTGGTAATGTAGCTCGAAATTAAAGTTAAAAGGAAGCAAAAGGAAACCAAAGAAAGTTAACACTGTGAACCTTAAAGAAACACATCTGTTAAATCCAGTGCACAAGATAATAATGAATTTAATGTCAAGTGCAAGTGCTTATGGGGATTTAATGAACATGTAGGAAGTATAACCCTCCTGTTGGTGGAGCACTATTGTGCATGATGATTACATCATACACTAGTGCAGTTCACATTACAACACATCTTTGGTGGGAGATAGTTCAAAGCGATTGGCATTCACAAAATCTCAAAGGCAGACACGCAAGAAATAGCTACTGTGTGCACTGTGCATAGAAGTAAGCCTATAATTTCAGAAGCTGTTTATTTTCTTTTATATGCATTATTCTCAGGAAAGGATTAGTTTCACCATAATTTTGAAAATATGACTTTTGTAAAAATAAACTAGTGGATTTCTTTAAATAAATGCTTTTATCAAAATGGTGATTATTTCATATTTTTTTGCAGGCAATATAGACCTTAATATATCATTCATGAGTAATTTCATGAAAATTACAAAAATAAAGTAAATAGACACATAGTAACTTACATCTACATCAGCCTGGGTGAAGTGTTCTGGATCCACACCCATTATGTTTGCCAGGTGTCTTTTCCCAAACTCATACTCTTCTCTTTGGTGTTTCATAAATTCATCTTCATCAAACACAAATAAAACATTATGATATGACTGGACTTAATATCTATGTGTGTGTGTGTATGTACATATACATCACAATAATCTTTAATATCTACACATTTTTTTATTTCTACTGTGATTCACAATTTAAGTTTGTTAAAATGCAAATGTGCATATACACTTTTGTTATAACTACACTTTCAATCGAATAAACACCAGCTGACAACCATCTATCATTTTTGTTAATCAGGCTCATTAAATACATTTGATTAGCAGTTTTTAACTGATAAAAACTACAGTAAATAAATATTTTATTTTGAAATAAATTTCAGGTATGTACAAATTTTGATCTTGGAAAATGTATGCCTTTGGTTATTACTCCAAAACCAACTCTGGATGATGAAGCATATTTCACCTCAATTTAAAAGTTGAAAGCATGCTTTATCACAAGATTTATGAGATGAAAAAATGTCAGTTTTAATATAATTTTATTTTGAAGAAAGTTAGAGATGTATGTCTAAGATATATTGCAAGTACGTCATTTAAATAAAAAAATAACTTTTTAAGTAAAATCTACCCTGCATTTTTTTCTTTTAGGTACAATTTATTTATAAAAAGTTAATATATTTACCATATTTTTTGTCATCTTGACTTTATACGGAGAACAATTCAACATGATATTAGGTATTTGATGTAAATTATAAATTTTTGTGTTAACCTTCATTTCTGATTTCACAACAGTCGATGATAGAGTACAGAAAATACCAGTTACAATATACAGGGATACTGAAAAAATTTAGATGTACATGTAGGAGGGTGTAGGTAGGCAAATGCAAATTGCTAACTATACAATAGATAAAAGTATTTTTATTCTTCACATGATCATCACCTTGCACTACAACTTGTCAGACTGACATCATCATTTCATAGATATCTTTAGTACAAGAACTTTATTAACACATCTGACTTTTTGTATACAACAGACTTGTACTAGGTACGAAATACATGCGACAGTCCAAAAAAATATTATGAAACCAATTTTAATTATTGTTTGTTTCAAAGTAAGACATTAGAAATATGGCTATTTTCTAAATGAAACAACTGTATAGGGACAAAAGGTAAACTGCAGTGTAATGTTCTGTTGTTTGGTTTGTTAGTATCAATTTTGTTCGTGAGTTGAGTTTTGTTGTGGGGGAATATTGGAGAGTTTTCAACAATAGCTGGTGGAAATTTGTTGGTGTGAATGAAGGAATGCTTTATGTGGTTGATTTTTCCATCTATGTAGTCCTTTTAACAGAGTATTGTGGCTGTGTTTATGACGTTTTTCAGTGTATTGATTTTTTTGTGTGGTGCAGAATTCCAAGGGATGTAGAAGCGAGTGTGTGTGTTCTTACAGTGAATTTTGGTTTTAAACTGCATGTCCAATCTAATAATGTTGAGGTCAAGAAAAGATAACTGTTTACTGTTTTCATGTTCTATGGTAAATGATTTTGGGATGAATGGAGTTTATGTGTTCAAAGATAGTTAGTGTGTGTTCTGTAGAAGTGAAACCAGCAAAAGTTTCATTGACATATCTACCAAATTCAATGACGAGGGAACCCACTTTGAGACTAATAATGCTTGAAGATGGCTTGAATGAGTAATGAAGAAAAACTTTAATATAAGTTTAACATAACAGCAAATATACAACATTTCGACAAGTGGGGGATGAAGCACAGAATATATGGCTTGTATTTCAATATGTGTTATTATTATATTGGCAAGAACAGGTGAATCAGGATTGCCCATACTTAAACCATCTATTTGAAGGAAATGTTCGTTGTTGAAAATGAAGTTGGTTTTAGTTGTTGTAAATTCTAAGAGAGAAGCAAAAAGTTTGCTGGGGATGTGCATTAACTTGTTGAGATCATTAATGTAGAGGTCGAGTGCAATATTGCAAGCTTCATTGGCGGGGACTTCGATGAAGAGTGACACAACATCAAAACTTTCTATTAAGGCTTTCGAATTTAGTTGTTCTAGTATATATTTGAAATTGAAGGCATCTTTAAAAAATGAACCTGCAGATGTTACATATGGTGTGAGAGCCCAGG